CCTCCTCCTCCTCCTCCTCCTCCTCCTCCTTCCACCCTCTGCCCCAGGGATGTCCCTGCCTCCTTTGCTTCTCAGTTCTCACAGTTCCTAACCAGCCTTAATCCCAGAGTGATGTTGATGACAGCCAGACAGCCCCTGTGTAGCTGGGTGTGTATCTCTGCAACAAATCCGTATCTAGGCAGTGCACCAAGCAATGTACGTGTAGTATTTAAGATGCTAATTTCTACTAATTATTAGGACTTTCTGGTTTGGAAAGTTCCTGTTTTAGGCTTGTTTACAATCTGTTCCAGTGGAAGTGGCCAAGAGATTAAATTAAGGGAAAACTTCTTTCCTCTTTACCAACAAAACACTGAATTTCTTCCCTTTTAAATCTATGGTAACATTAATCCTTAGCAAAAAATGTATACTTAGAGCATCTGAGAACATAATTTAGATTGGCCAGAAAGAACACTTCCAGACATCATCCAGTTTGCAGCTAGGAAAAGTCATAAATTTATTTGCTATATTCTCTAGCTACTTGCACTTAAGATTACAAGGTTCTTAAGATCAAGTTTTCCTAGTCTAATTTAGTAAAATCCATAAGTATCTCATGGGGAAGGAAACAACTGTAGCCCAGGGAATAGTTAAAATATATGTTCAGTAGATAACTAGTAGATAAATAGAATAATCACATGTGCACATCACTCCCAGCTGCCAAGTTCCTTCACGGCTACATGGAAGCCAAGACTGATCTTTCTGGAACTGAGGGCCTGTCCATTTGAGACCAGTTATATGGCTGACATCAGGAAAGCTTTTCTGGGAGCCTGGGCATGTTCCAAATTCCTATCACTCACTCCCAAAGTCCAAAGTAGACAAAGTTTTTGAAAGAAATGTCAGTACTCTGAGTATCAAAACTTTCTTAAATACATTATGATGAGCTGAAAATATTCAGAAAAAACTGAAAAAAATGGTTAATATCCTAATTACTTAATTATTAATTAATTAATTCAGAGAAAAATTACACCATTTAGGTATTCCACACAAGCCACAGCCACTGTCATAAGGGCTGGAAGTCTTTGTTCAAATGACAAGCAGGTCCAGTCTTGTGATTTTTTTCCTGTCATTTCCCAACTGCTCATAAACCATGACAAATTCTGAACAGCAATGACATTTCACACCAGCATCTGAATTGACATATACAAACCAGATGGAATTCCACCTACAGAACTCATAAAGAATGAGCATATTGATGTATTATTAGCATTTATATAGCACCACAGGTGTAGGAATGGCACATAATAGACAGTAAAGTGACAGGGGCTTTTGGAGATTACTATCAGAATTAGACCTCACATGATAATAACATCAGTGGAGGAAGAAGGTAAGAATAGCAACAGTGAGACTGTATGAAATGCATTTATTTCTACGTGAATGTCTTTTTAAAGTGACAGGGGCATTAACAATGCTGAGGTTGAACAAGAAGCAGCAGCCAAATGGCTTCTACCACTTAAAGTCCTATTACCATTAGTTATTAGTTGTGATATGTTCCTACATAGCATGGGTTATGTGGGGTATATTATATTACAATTAAATGCAAGTATAATGTACAGTGTAAATCCACTTTTAACCACAGGCCCTCCTCAACAAGACTGGGGCAGGAAATAAGATGAAAAAGCTCATGGGTTGAAATGAACACAAGTGTATCGCTTGCTGATTACCATCATTAGCAAAATAGATTCCACTCAGGGAAAAGTAATTTATTACAAAATAAAATAGACTTGGATGGTGAGAAAAATTAAGATGTCTTCATTGCAACCATTTTTTTCAGCTTAATCTTCTTTACTCCCAAGTCCTTTGTGCCTTAGGGCTGACATATGCAACACAGGGGCCATCCTGGGATCAGGCCAGACATCATAGGGTATCAAAAGTGTGATAAGCACCTAACTTTAGGCACTTGAATTATTCTGTACTGAGAATGTTGATTTTCTGACAGAAAAATAGCCAGTACCATTTGGGAGCTCCTAAAGAGCTCAGAGGGTCCTAAACCTTTAGACAGAGCAAATCTGTACAGGGCAAAATTTGTGTCCTGGTCTGGGGCAACAACTACAGGTCAGGTGAGACTTCTGAATACTGCTCTGTGCAGCCAGGATGCTCACCATGACCTGCACCATGGGCTCCAGAGGAATCTCTGCTCTGACACTTGGAGCACCTCCTTCCCCTCTTTCTGCACTATCCTTGGGGTCTGCAGGGCTGTTCCTCTCACACATTTTTCACTCCTCCCTAGTCTGACTCTAATTGCTTCTGCACAGTAACTTTCTTTCCCTTCTAAAATCTGTTATCCCAGAGGTGCCACTACCACTGATGGGCTCAGCCTTGCCCAGAAGCCATCTCAGAGCTGGTTTGCATTAGCTCTGCCAGATACAGGGGGAGGTTCCAGGGATCCTCACAGAAGCCACCACTGTAGCCCCTCACTATGAAAATGCTGCCACACAAACCCATTCTAGATGGGGACAGACTTTTTAGTAGGGTCTGTAGCAATTGGTCAAGTCACAGTTTCAAACTAAAAGAGGGTAGATTCAGACTAGATATAAAGAAGAATTTATTTACAGTGAGGGTGGTGAGTCACTAGCACAAGTTTCCAAGGAAGGTGGTGGATTCCCCATCCTTGGAAACATTCACAGTCATTTGGACAGGTGTCTGAACCACCTGGTCCAGTTGAAGATATTCCTGCTCACTGCGGAGGGGGAGAGGACTAGATGGTATTTGGAGGACCCTTCCAACCCAAGTTGCTGTATTGTATTCTATGAATCAGCCTGGTGTGCTGTGGAGGCCAGTGGAAAGATTGACATTACTACACAAGAATTTTTGTTGTCCCCCTGGGATCGTATCTGTTTTATATACAAACATTCTGTATTTGCCTGCTGACTGGTTGTGGGAGTATCCCCGAGTTGTCTCACCTACAAACTCCTTGGAAGAAAATCAGCATATGAAGGCTGAGTATCTACCATTCACCCAGGTGGAACAGAAGCAAGATGAGATTTGGTTGCATGCATACATATACGCACACATTACTCAATCATAAAGCCAAAGGTGTAGTATAAAGTCTTACAAATGTTCCTCAGAATAACTGGAGTCAGGGAAAAATGATCCTGACATTTGAGATCCAAAATAAAGCATGTCAGGAATGGAAAGTCACATGTGTGAGAAAGTGGAAGAAGCTGCTCCAACCCAAACTTCATCTTACCCTTAGCTGTTACTGATCATCTCATTTCATACCCAAGGAGAGACCTCAGAGCTCTTGAGATGATCAGTAGCCCAAAAGACTCATCTTCCTTTGAGTCCTTTCCTGGCAAAATCAAGGCCACATCCATCAGCCACAGCTGTTGTTTTACATGGGGCTTTTCCAGCTAGAACTAAGATATTACCAGTGTGAGATACCTCTAGAAGTGCACTTCTGATAAGAGCTGAGTATTTTACTCAATTTTGAAAACACCCACTTAATCAAAGGTTCGAGGCTAAAAGGAGATAAGACCAACCCAAAGTAGTCAGAGAAATCATGCAAAACAAACTGTGGAAATATTACAGTGTAAAAAGACTCCTTTTCTTAGCACAGGTGAGAAAAAGGGTCCACACCATTAACTCCTGAACATACTGTACTTCTTTGAATTAGTATCAGTTTTAGAATTATCATGAAAATTATTAGTTACTGCATATGCCTCATGCTGAGTTCAGGAGTAGTGAGAATTCCTCATTCTGACAGTGAAAACCAGAGTGAGGTTCAGCTGAAGCTAGGAGCCCTTGCAGGTAGCTACATATACTCTACCTACATAACTAACTAAACACATAACTGCCTGGTAAACTAAAAAAGCTCAAAAACTGGCAAGGATACACATGCCAAATGCAAAACTAGCAAGCATTTGTGTGTTGAATGCATCATTCTGCTATTCAGCCAACTAGTAAAGGCAGTAATGGTATGTGAAACACAGAATGAATGCCAGGGCTTGTAAAGCGTAGGTTGTAGTTGCTCAGTAACTGGGCCCTAAAGCTTTATATCTGCAGCAAGAAAGATACAGCACTGTTGTGCTGCTTGACCTACTGTCTGACTAAAGGTTGAACCTGTGGTTTGAGAGATCAAGAGACCCTGATCTGTGGGAAAGACAGCCCTGGCAGGAAAACTAGCAACAGGGTAATGTTCAACCACAATTTCAAATCAGTAGTTTCCTTCTGACTCTGCCAGTTGTACAGTCCCTTGAACTCTCTCACGGCCTCTTCAGTCTTTCCATCAGATTAAAACACTAGTAGATGTTAATTCTTTTGAGTCAGAGTCTTTCTTATCTTGAGCTTCAGGAGACCATTATCAGATTCCAACTAAAAGTTTACATTGCTGGCAGCTGACAAGTGCAGCTTGCAAACTTTGACCCCTTTTTCCACAAGAGGAGTGTAACCAGTGAGGCTGAGAGAGTAAAGGACTGTGCACTGAACACAGGGACACCTTAAGGCCATTCCTCCCTGTCCTATTGCACACATCCTTATAAAAAGTCCCCCTCCAGCCTTCTTTAGGCTCTTTAGGTATTGGAAGGTGCTCTGAGGTCTCCTTAGTCTTCTCTTCTCCAAGCTGAACAGCCCCAGCTCTCTCAGCCTGTCTTCACAGCAGAGGTACTCCAGGCCTGTGATTTAATGGTTCTTCTCTAGATTCCTTACAACAGGTCTTTCTTATATTGGGGCCCCAGAGCTGGACACAGCACTGCAGATGGGATCTCACGAGAGCAGACCAGAGGGACAGAATCCCCTCCCTCAGCCTGACAGCCACACCTCTCCTGGTGAAGCCCAGGATGCAGCTGGCTTTCTGGACCACGAGTGCACTTTGCCAGGTCACAATGAGCTTCCCCCATCCACAAACACCTCCAAATCTTTCTCCTTAGGGCTAGTCTCAATCCATTCTCTGCCCAGCCTGGATTTGTGCTTGGAATTTCCCTGGCCCAGGTGCAGCACCCATTGAACTTCATGAGGTTCACACAAGCCTATGTCCCCAGCTCGTAGTCAACAGGAGAGAGAAAATTTCTGTTCCTGTATCCTCATCCCTGCAGTGGTTAGGGAACAGGCCTAGATTTTTTTTTTAATGGATGTTTCTGTAGTCTAAGAATGTAACTACTTCTGTATTTTGTGTGGTCCTGGGCCAGGACATTGTATATTATCTGCTAACTATTTCCAAAAAACTTAAATGAAACAATGCTATGCTTAGGCCAGAGATTAAAAAATTATGTCTTCTGGACTGAAAGAAAAAGTTGCTGGAGCAGCATACAGGTCACATAGGAAAAGATACCCACAATTTTGGAGTTTGACACTTCAATTTATCCTCCTCAGCAAAAGAAAAACATTGTTATTGCATCCACCTGGTCAACAGGAGCTGTTTATTGCTACTCCCGTCTGCCTAGTGGATTTGGCTTATCATTGTCCTGATTGCTGCATAAAAAATCATCTAGGGTAAGGTAACCAAACTAAGCTGACTAATTTTTTTCAGAGGTGGATTATGATGTCATGAATTCTCCACTGGTAAAAGTGGAGTAGTAGAGCAGCCAGCAGTGACAAAACAGAGTCAGCAATGTCTCCTATCAGCACTGGATCCGGGGAAGACATCTTCATCATTTTACTCCAATCAGTTTCATAAAAAATGTGAAAGTAACTGGGCAATAACTATGGGTATAAGAGCATTTCCCATTATCTGGCAAACTAGATTATTTTAGCAGAAAGACCAACAGTTAAGCAAAATAATGATTTAATTATAGTAACATGTCTGAAAGGCTTTAATGTGAAGTGCAGAAATATTTATGATTAAATGAAGCCTCATGCTAAAGAAAATAATATGCTGTGGTACTGAAAACCATCAGATCACAGGACAGTAGTTTAAGACATGGTAGAGGCCTCAGCTAATATGGCACATCAAATCACACAAAATACTAGCTGAACTAGAGGTTAGTAATAGTCCAGTGGCAAAATTTCAGATGAAGGGATCTTATTTTCTGAGTCTTATCTGTCTGATCTTGGTTGTCCCAAGACAGTTATGGTCCATCGTAAGAGTAAGCAGCACATGATAATCAGATATACAGACTTTATGAAAATGGTAATAATTTGGTATCCTTTGTAACTTAGGACATGATGAATATTCTTTGCTTCTGTCTTCATATTTAAAACACCTCCAGAGGGACAAGGCATAGCAAGGGTAGATTTTGGTTAAAAGAATAACAATGGGGTCTTCATCTTGAACGACATTTTGTGAGATGACTATATGTCTGACAAGATGTATTGCCTTGTTTTTATTCCAGTGACTAAAAGCTTCTTGCTTAAATTTATCTGCAATCAGCTGCAAGGTTCAGCATGTGAGGAAAAGAATGTCATGGATGAGTATTCTGGGCCAGCTGCCCCAAACTTGTTACAATTATTATCCATCCTGCATATGGTATGAGACAGTTTTCCCATCTCCATATCCATCTCAATCTTTGTGGAAAAGGAGGGCTGAGAGGCCTGTCTTGAGGTATAATCATGCATACCCAGGGTAAATAACAAAAAGATAACAACCAAATTAGTAACTGACAGAAACATGAAATGAATTCTGTTTTCCTGAATAACTATGGAGATCACTATAATAATCAAGCTAGAAAAATTCAAAACTCTGGAAGTAAATCCAGTGGTTAGCAATTCTTAAAATACAAAGCTGAGAGAAAACCTGAAACATTATCTGTCTCAATTCAGAAGATATCTAAATCCTGAGCTCTGAAAATGGAGTACATTACCTTGTTAACATTACTAAATGCATTCCACTTGGGTATATTATTTGCAAAGACCAAGATTTTTTTTAATTTGTGTTCTTTGTCATAATCCTCCTAGTGTTTTCAAGCGCTCCATTTTTAAGGCTTCTGTAAACTGTCACATTTAGTCTTCATTGATGCCTATATTGTTCATATTTATGCTACTTCTTTCAGTGTTTCTGCTGCTGCCTGCACAGTGAAGGCTGCAATGGAAATCTGCCTCTTCACTTCTTCCCAGGCTTCATGCTGATCAGCTTTGCTTTCAATATCAAACATGGCATCATAGATTCCTGGGAAGGATTCTCCTGCATACTTGTTGTGGCTGCTTGGAGCAAAGATAACATGTCTGCAGGGAAGTCAAGGGACAAAAATAACAATATTATGCATTAGGAAAATGAAACATACTATTTTATGTTTTATAAGCCAGCTGTAAACACTTGACACTGAAGATGTAAATAAATAAATTATTGCAACAATAGTAGCTTAAGTCCATGAAGCAAGAGAATAACATATGCCATATGAATTCCACAGCTTTATAGATACTTGAGATAAAGTCAACTAAAGTATTTTCCTTTCTCTCAACTTAGATGAAATGAAAAGATTTTTAAAAAGCCAGCTTTTTTTTTCTCACAGATATACACAGTCTCCAACAGATACCTGTATGCTTTGACATAAAAAAGACTTTTAACAAGAGACTTAACAGATTTTAAGCATGAGCTATGAGAGGTACAAGGATTGCAGGTCTAGATTTCTCCTTCTTCAGTTAGTTTATAGGAGAGGCTGCTATTCTGAATTATGCAGACTGGTAGAGGCATCAAAAACTAGACTTGATTCACTGCCTCTTAAAGAAGATTTACTTCTTGAGCTGGATGAGAGGACCACTGAATTCCTTCCCTGCTGTTTCAGCACTTCCCTCCACACTACACTTGCTAGCATGGCTGCGTTCTTAAAATTGATCAACTTTTAGGTGCTTCAATTACATAACAACTTCCTGAAGTTCCTTCAATTAAAATTATTTAAAATTACTCCAGGGCTAAACTTTTACATCGGTTTAGAAGCCAAATCAAACCAAGAGAAATTTTCTGAATTGGCTTCCAACAAGAATGTTCCTCTTTCTATATAGTGCATCACACTGAGGTTTTCCCCAATGTCCTTTCCCCTTTTCAGTATTATTCCTCCTCTCTCATGTACTTTTGCTGTGTTAAATAAAATCATTATAATTCTATTTAGAGACTTTTAAATCTTAAAGGAATTTTCATAGCACACTTCAAGAGGAAAGTGAAAAATAAGCCTTTCTCACCTATAGAATGGCCTGCCAGGTAATCCAAGAGGGTCGATGAAAGCCCTTTCTAGAAACATGAGCTGATCATTTAGTGACCGGACAGTAAGCAGGCTAAAAACACAAAAACAAAAAGGGAATATGTTGAATATGTTACCTGCAGTGCATCTGCCATACTCCTATCCAAGCATACATATCTGGATTTAAGAAGAACAGCATATCTGTGATGTTGAACTTCAAGTGTAGCCCACAAAAGACAGCACATGTCAGCTAACCTGCATAATAGAATTATGCTGATCTGTGCTGTGACAGAGACTAATTCATAACAGGAAAAAAAATAAAACCTATTTTTAAAGCTTAAAGCTATTTTTAAAGGCCAAGTGATAGTGTCAAAAGACAGGGATTCAGGTTTTTTTCTCTCCTTTTATTCCTTTATTTCCTTTCCATGGGGATGCTTAGGCAGACCATTCTCTTCTTTTGTACAACAGTTTTCTAAGGACCCTCTTTTCCAGAAACTCAGCCAGCCACAAATTACTTCAATAATATTGCATTTGTTTTTATGTAAAATCACAACATACCAGAAAAAGGAACTCTGTGATGTTAAAATCCTCTTCTGAGCCATCCGAGAATTGTGTTTTACTGATGGTAGATTTTAAATTCCCTAGAGCAGAGACCATCTGTGTCTGTGTGCTTTTAATAGCCCTGCACATACTATTGATGCTTAACAAATAAAAGAGCTGTGACGAGGTTACACAGAATATATGTGGGCTTTGTGGTTTACATCCAAAGTGACTTGTAGACCTTCAAAGGCATTCACCAATACAAAGTGTTAAAATTTATATCACAGTAAACCTGGAGTAAGTCTATTACCATTAAGGAAATTTTTTCAAGTTTATGGTGGTGTAAACAGAAACTGAAACAGTCTGGTTGAATTAAAGCATAGATTTAGCCCATCCATCAATAAAGCCATTTTGAAAATGTCACATAGATGTCATATGTCATAAATGTCATCTTTTGCATAATAGATTACTGTTAACTCCTTTATCTGAAAGTTGCTGCCATTAAAAAGATGGCTTTTATTCTCAGTTAGTGTTCCATAAGGGTAAGCATATGGCTAAATTAGATTCTTCCCAAGAAATGGAACATACATATATGTATACATAAAAGGAAATTTGGCTTGTCATTCTGGGCATGGCCTACAAAGAATAAATTAAGAAGTAAGTCAAGTGCAAACTAGGCCTTTTGGCATAGATGGTGCATAGAATTTCTTGAAAGCTCATCAAAAAGCTTGCCACAACTATAGCTTATTTCTTTTTTTCCATTAAGTGTCAGTAAGTGAAGAGTAAGCCCTCTTGAGCTCAGAGGACTAACTGGAGTATTTGACTGGAAGAAAATAAGAGCTGAACTTACTTATTGATATCTATTTGTTGCAGTCTCTCATGAAAGCTAGCAGCAACTTCTGTAAAATTCTTCACAGCTGAAAACAGAGCATCTGGAGGGAGTGGGAGGAAAGTATTTAACTCAAATTCAAACAAATTCAAACAAATCAAGTTTTACAATCAAAGATTTATCTTCCACCATAATCATGAACTGTTAAAAGTTCTTGCTGAAGGAAAAGAAGATAATTCCATATTCCTACATTAAATAATTTGTAATTCTATGTGAAAACCTCTCTTAGAAACAATAGCAATTAGTATCATTGTGAATGTTGTTTACTGTCTGCTACTTAAAAATGTACAGAAATATTAAAAACCGGATCATGGAACCAGACTGTTCAGGTATGTCTGAGATTTTATAGATCCCAGAAATCTGTGTTTTACTGCTATGCCCCTCCACACAGAGTTTTGATAAAGACAGAGAAAGTGTGTGTGAGTGTACACGCATGCACATGTACCTGATATTGGCCATTAGCAGCCAAATCCTAAACTGAATGTTCTATAATGTTGCTAATTAAAAAAAGGGTTCCTCAGGCACAGAATTATCCAACACGATAAGCTGCAAAACAGTGTGATTTTTTGTTTTAAAGGAAACATGACAATGATACATTGCTGTCAATACGGGTGAATCATGCACAGGTCAAAGAACATGCAACTCTAAGTGTTAGCTCTATTTGGCAATGGCATAGTCCCCACACAGGCATGCTAGTGATAAAATATTCCCATTTCAAATTAATGGAGGATATTGCTGTTGTTTTATTTACTGTTCATACAAGGTAAATAACGGGTCGGGACAAAGACATTCAGTATTAGGCACTGTTAGCATTAACAGAGTAAGAATGTGATGAAAGACTATACATACCAAAGGATACATTGTATGTTGCCAGCTCCTCTTCGTGATTCCTTGACAAATTATAGATGATGTGAGCATAGTTGCTCACAGCTGATGCATAATCTCTACAGTCAAAAGGAAGCACAACAGAGTTGGCCAATTCAAACACCAGCCCTCCCCGTACCTGAGCGACTGTCAGATGATTCTTGAACGTGGGATCATAAAACTGTTCCACAATTTCATAGGTTTCATAGACACTGTGGTAAACTGGATAGCTGCTGTATTTTTCTGTGTTCTGAAACAAAGGAAACCAAGCCAAAACAAAACCATTATTCAGACATGTCTATTTAGATTTTTGAAAATCTTTGCTGTGGTATTCAAGGCATGGTAAAGTTTCAGTGTTCAGGTCACACTAATCCTGTGTAGCCAGAGTAGACAGTCAAAGCAGAACTGGTCAGTAATGTCTCTCTTAGACATTAACCTATGCTGAGATGAATGGTCATTTGGAGAAATCTCTCTCCACTGACCATGTACACAGCCCAAAGAAGGTAGCTAAGCACAGACATATCACTTTCAGTTGGCTAAATCCAGGCGAGATTGGACTTCTTCTCTTTCTTGGATTCAATAATCATTTGTTTGTGTCCTTGGACATTCCTTCCTTTTCAGAGGAAATGACCACATTGAATAGTTTTCTCCTTGAACATTTCTCAGTTACTCTCCTCTCACAGTATGCTCCGGAGCCCAACCCATATTTTCAATAAAGTATTAACCATTTTGAATTCCAAGCTTTGTAAAGTGTTACAAATCATTCAAAAGTCACCATAAGCTACTCAGAAGCCTTAATCAGTCACAGGTAATTTTGAGCACATCCATTTACCCTGAGCAAAAGTACTTTTGTCTAAGTGACAACAAGTTGATCATTCTTATTTATTACATATTGGTGTTGAGGTAGCACATAGAGTTGTAGCAATTAGACACCACTGACATGCTGAACTGTACTATCCTAAAAAGCTGGAAGTCTAAATGGCTCCTTTACAGGTGATGTTATTCAGGCAGTTACAAAGGAGACCAAACTACAAAGACACACACTTACCCAATTTTTACTGTAACGCGCTCTGCCTGAAGCAATGCCAAGACGTTGAAAAAATGCTTCAAAGTCATTGCCAGAACCCAGTTTATTTATTCTTCAAACAAGAAAGAGGAAAATGCCTTGAGTGACAATACTTAAGGAATAATTTTAGTTTGCTTCCAAGTATCCCATGGCAGTTATTTATTCAGCAATCACTACATAGTCTTTTCCCAGTGTGCTCTCGTTTGCCAATACACCATGAACCATGAACCTCTGACCCCTGCACTACCTGCACCTCATCAACTGCATTCTCAGAGGAGCAAAGTCACCCTTCTCAGGGTCAGAGATATCCTGTTCTCAAGAGGAGAACGTACCTCACTGTCTTTTTATCACTGACAAGAACCAATGACCTTCCTCCTGCTGAACTTCCACTACCCAAAGCTCTCAGCTCAGAGAAATCACAGCAGTACCAGCATGGCTTCATGGAATAAAATCAGTTTTTGAGATTCTGTAGAAACCTCCCAGTAAATCTGAAGGACAAACTCATAAAATCCTGCCTGGTATGCTCCCCCGCCACCCAAACTGAGAGGCTTTTCAGAAGACTAGAAAAAAATGCAAAGGAAAGCTGTTGAGTTAACATCTTGTGTAATTGCCTCTGGCTTGTGCATACTACCCTTCTTTGTCTAAACCTCTATAAATTAAATAAAGCCTCTTGTTCATCTTCAAAGGCAGTTTCAAAAACCTGCTGTACAATAGCGTATGAGCTGCAATCATTACATCGCTGAAATTTATACCAGCTGAGAATCACACCATTTCTCTTCAGGACTCAGTTTTTCATGAATATTTCTTTAAAACCCACACTCTACAAGTTATAATAACATTTGGTATGTAATTTGTTTTCTTTTGTCACTGACCTGGGAACCTCCTTATATTCGCTTGATGGATTTTTTTTATACCAGCTCTCATAAAGAGATTTTCCTTCAAACCCCTCATCAGGACTTGGTATCTAGAAAAAAAGACAAAGGACACAATTTTAAATGTTACCAAGCAGAAAGTCAACAACCTGTCATCAGACAAAGCCTACGAGTAATGAGTAATGAGGTACGTCATCTGAAGTCCCTCAACCTTTCTGCATTTCCATTTTAACACTTCAAATGCATAGCATTTTCCAGAAGAATAATTTATTTGCTAAAAAAGAGGTAAATTTAGATGAAAGAAAACATAAGGAAAGAAAAACATTTCAAGTCAATATTTAAATTCTGATATTTCTTTATGAGATTTTTCAGCCATTTAATTTAAATATTCAGAAGAGAAATCCCTCACAAAACCAAAACATTTTGCTTTACTTTGGCAGAAAATTTCAATTTTGTCTTAGTTTAATTCAAAATTATTTCTACCTTGTTTCAGTTCACAAAAATATGTTTATGGATGCAGAAGCAACCTTAGAAGGGCAAAGGACACAGTACCTGGTGTTTATATCATCATAGCTGCTAGAGACATATACAAATCACAATTATTCTAAAGTTGATTCCTATCACTGACTAATTGCAGGTAACTGAGCAGTTTAAACACAGTGGATGTTTCTTCATCTTTCCTTTATATTGTTGGACTGCTGAGGTTTTACTATTTTGAATCTATTAAAGATTATTAATATATATTCTGTTATTAATCTATCACCTACCTAAGAATTACTCCACAATGGGAATCAAATTAAAACTTATTTATTTGGAGTTTTGTTCATGAAGGAAATCTTCCACAGATTAGCACATTAGACCTATTAGCATGAAAACTTTTTACCACAGATTAACTATGGATGGGATCACATGGGACATGCTTCCTCATCAGCATTCTCTTCAGACATCAGCTACCAACAAGCTGTGGTTACATGCATTCCTCAGTCTTTGCTTCCCAGCTCGAGGAAGGGTTACACAAGCATTTTTACTGGTATTTAGGTCAAGATTTTAATGATTGCTCTTGGTGTCCAAACTGAGACTCTGCTGACCTGATTTCCTGACAGTTCTGAACACCTTCACTTAGCAGGTTACCATGGGAACTGCAGGTGATCAACTCTTCTTGAGTTCAGGACACAAGTCTGCTTATCTGGGTACCTACTTTTAAAAGAGCTGCATTTTATTTGCTGTCTTTTAATCTCCAGAAAATTATTATACCTATTTACTACTTTTCTTTTACTTTTGCACCAGTCTAATGCCAGCTTCCAAGAGATAATAAATTATTGAATGTCTGAATACATAAAGCAGATAAAGTCAGATAAAAGTAAATTCACAGAATATATACAGTAGTCAAATGTACATTTGATCAGTATCTAAAACATACGCAAAAACTCATTAAATGTTCACTGTTTAAAAAAAAAAAAGAAAAAAACTCCAGAAATAAAATGCCAGACTAAGATCCACTCCCAAAGCAAGGAACATTTTACATCTAAGATGGTGTGGCAATTTCCTGAGAAAGGTCCCTACCTCTAAATTTTGTGTGCCACACAAATGCGTGAGAGCATCATGGTCAGAGAAAAAGAATAACTAACAGGTTACACTGAAGCTGAGCAACTTGACCAAACCTGTCACATCACACAAAAACATGGTAGCCACCCTGATTTCTTCCCCTTCCTAAAGGGAGTCAGAGTCTCTTACTAGCACAGGCATTCTACTAGTGGATCTGGACAGCCAGGTAGGTATATGTTTCTGTACTGTGGTTGACAGCATGCTCTTATGCTTTTGTTCTTAGAAGGGATGCTTTCACAGGAAGAGTGGAAAAATCCCCTAATCCTGAATAGTTAATAATTTAATGGTGTAAACTTGGAATCCCCTTATCTGTCCTGGGAAAAAGCTCCAGTTCCTTAGCTACTGACCTAAAAACGGTCAGAAAAGAAAGATCTGACACCGTATTTTTACAGACAGAGCCCCATCAAGTAGCAAGAACATACCAGCTAAAAATTTCAAGTGATATTACCTTTTTAGTCAGACTGTAAACCAGACTATACATCAGTGGTGTGCAATCCACTCGCAGTGTGTAGTTTCCTGAAAAAACATGAAAAACTATATACTGGAAGAAGGAAGTTCCCTCAGCTGCAACTCCATGCTGTTATTTATTAATAAGAAAGGGACTAGGCAGCTATACTCTTTATAAGGAGCAAGCTGAGAGGTCTTCCTATGATCTTCTCAGTGCATTTCATTGGTTAGGATGAATTAGAGCCCAGTTTCTGAAGAAAGTCTTAAATTGGTTAGGATGAATTAGAGCCCAGTTTCTGAAGAAAGTCTTAAGTCTTAAGACTTAAGAGCTTTTCTTATGTCCCCATGATTATTATGCACATTATAAGAGAAGAACCTGACTTTTAAGTGTTGTCACAGAACTCAGGGCGCAGCAATTCTTGTCTTTCTTATGACCTCCCAAATAGTGTAGCTACTGAACTCAGGGCGCAGCAATTCTTGTCTTTCTTATGACCTCCCAAATAGTGTAGCTACTGTAAAGGACTTTCTCCCTGAAACAACACAAATACCTGAAGGATACTTTATGATTCCAAGCCATATTCATTTCTGAATTAATGCAACAAAAATTATCACATTGAAGGTCTCATGAACCTCCAACACAAAATCCCTCCCCATCATACCATCAAGATTTCTGTAAAACACAAGTCATATCCATGTACCTTCAACAGAAGAATCTGCATTGATATAAGCCACTCCCCGTGTTTGCAATATTTTGGCATTTTCCTACAAGAAAGAAAAAAAGGAAGAAAATGCTGATAAACATTTTTCCCCCAGAACTATCTTCCCATTCACAAAAGAAACAGCTGTTTCAGAGAAGGGTATGATATACTGCAAGGAGCTAGAGATTCTTGGTAGTTCAAAAGGAAATTCAAGGGAGAGAGAGAATGCATGCTTAAGGAAAAGGGTGGGGGAGGGAAGAAGTGCTTCTTTCTAGTGCAGTTTTCTCAAAGAGCAGCTACCATGCAAATTTCTTTTTGAACACTCTTAGTTTACCTCAGCCCACTCTGTTGATCCTAACAAGCCAAATTCCTCTGCATCCCAGCTTGCAAATATCACTGTTCTCCTTGGTCGCCATCCTGAAATGAGAGACCATGAAAACTGTATTACAAAAATAAAGGCTGCTCATTACATGTCTAATGTGAAAACATAGCATTTTTGGGGGTTCATCTTTTACCATGATCTGTGGGGAAAGAGATACACATGAGACTTTAGTAACTTTATTTAATAATGATTTTCTATTGTAGCAATCTTGCTTCTATTTCAATATTGGGCAAAATAATGTACTTGGTCTCTCACCTTTAAATGCAAGAAAATTTTCTACAACCTATAACTCAGACCAAGGAAAAATAATGTGCTGCGCACAAATTCTTGAAAGAAGGCTTTTCTAATCGTCTTGCTACGTTCAGTTTAGTATACATTATATATCAACCTCTACTCTGACAGAAAAGTGGCATATTTTCATATCTATTACAGAACTTCTTTGACCTGTCTTTCAAATACCAGATTTCAAAACCTAAGGAATTCTCTGTAACTTTGACAGATCACGTTCAAAAGAAAAATCTTTCACTTGAAGTCCTCCATTCAATCTAAACCCAGGCCAAACAGAACAACCTCTATTGCCCTGATGCTGTATCTCAGCCCAAAGTTTTCTTTGAACCTACTGGAACCTTTTCATCTTTTACTCCCTTTCTTTTTTAAATTTTAATTTTTTTCCCATTTGCATTCCAGAGAGCTTCCCCTGATATTCAGTTACTGGGAAGAAATAGAAATAAAACTAAATGTCAAAAGGTTTTCTGTGTAATAGGCAGGCAAAGAACATTTCTCTAGCATAGTATTTATGTCAGAGCTTCTCTCCATGGGATGTCAGATAGGGAGACAGCATTTTCTCTGACAGCAACAATAACTTGGTGCAGTTAACATTTGTTCCTATATTCTAATGCAAGTAGGCATGAGGTATTTTTAACCATTACCTCCTACTATGTTTGCAAAGCTCATTGTCAGCATTACACTGACATCCTTCACTCATTCTCGAGTATGCCTCCAAGCCACAGTCAAGTGCTGAGAAGGCTCTCTCTGTGGCCCTGATGAAGCCTTTATCAGTCCACCACTGTGTCAGTATTATAACACCACCAACATATCCAATCTGACCAGCCTCAAATACAGAGTAGTCAATTGTACCTAAATGTTGTGATAATTTCAGCATCCCCCATTTTGTTTTGTGTCCCTGTAGCTGTACTTCCTCTTGAGCAGAAGTACTTCACATACAACAAAGGTGCACAGCAGTGCGTTTATTCAAGACAACAGTGAGATACACGTTTTTAATTTCAAGCATATGTTTAAATCTCACAGAAATCAATGGGCACTGCTGAGAGCAGCTACTTTGATGTGCTTTATTCTTTCATTAGATTACCTTTCTTTTTCAGTTTTCCAAAGCTCCTCACAATCTCGTGAACCACAGCTGCCCCACTCTGAGGATCAATGCCACCAAACACCCATGAGTCACGGTGGCCTCCCAGGATGACGTATCTGTCTAGAGAAATTAATTTTGGAGGTTTACTTAGGAATAGTTTTTGCTGACACAGAGATATTAACTTGAAGTAATTTCTAATTTTACATGTATGTATCAAGCAACAGAGATTAATAGTTTATAATATACGTGACAGAAAGGAAGAAAACGTTTTAAATTTCTGGAGACATTTTTCTGTATTTTTAGTTAGTGTTGAAGAATTTTTCAAACCCGGTAACTGGATCCCATGAGACTTAAAACCTCAGGCTCTATGTTGTTAGTTCTATTATTAAATATACTACATGTTCCTCTAAAGAGAGAAGCATTTTTCCATACTTCACAATAGTGTGTTTCATGGTGAAGATGATCCACTAATTATATCTGTACAGAACAGAAATTCACAACATTGTGAATTCATGTGCTGAATGCAGTATTTCTCTGGATATATATAATCAATCATAAAAAAGGTTTGTCCAAATCATGACAGAGATATGATTATTGAGATAAAATTCAGACTAGGTTTCCATGCTACTATAATATGGTTAACAGTTGTTTTTAGGCAAAAGGAAAGTGGTGCAGTTAGAAGATAAACGATCTTATCATCATTCTAGGGATGTCTATATATGCGGTTTTTTAGAGTATAAAATCACACTGGTTACGAGATTGTAAGATAGATAAAAAGTCAATAATGGTGGATATAGTGCCTTCCAATGGAACACAAAATCCATTCCCATGTTTCTTAGGGGAGAATATCCACTTAAAAATATTATTTCAATTGCAGAGTTACTTGCTTGCAGACAAATATTTCCATCTTGTTTATGACTCCCCCTTGAAAATCAGCATTTAAAATGAAAGTGCTGACAAACCCTGAACCATATGAAAGCCGTGCAAACACCATTTAAAAGATCATACAATACCGTATTTCAGAGAAAACTATATTCCTCATGTCCCCTTTGTAACCACGAAGTACATGCAGAGGTCACTGGTCACTCAGATTATGCTGAAGGACAATGATTTTACCTGGTTCCACTGTGCCTCTGATGGTACCAATCACATTGTAAATCCTTCTTACTTCATTGTTGCTATGAATGTGCATTTTCACCTTTCTAGTGTATTGGGAAGAAAACACAAGGAGATTAGATGATAAAAACACCAGATTAGATGATAAAAATCTTGACACCTTTCAAAAGTGTACAATATATAAATGACAAGGAAAGCATTTTGACCAAATTTATCACCTATTAAACCAAAGTAAATCTGAAAATATTACAGTGTTGTTTTTTTCTGTATTCATCCTTGCAAAAATGAGAACAGCATTTAGCCCTTGACACCTATGTAATATTTCTGATGTCCATAAGATCTATACAGACAACAGGATCAGAACTCCAAAGATCTTTTTCTAGCAGCTAGTCTGTAAATTTGAAATAGTGAAAGAAAAATGGAAAGCATCTAATGTTAAAAAGGTAAATAGATCTAATTTTCTTCAGGTTGGTGCAAATCAGAACTGACTCCAGGTCTTAGTTTCACCCCAGCCAGCAAGAAAACCCCACACAGCCACTCACTCTGCCACTAGCAGCAAGAAAATCTGGAAGGTAAAAGGTAGAAAACTCATGGGTTGAGATAAAGACAATTTTATACACAAAGCAAAAGCCACACAAACAAGCAGAGCAAAATTGTTCAACCATCTCCAAAAGGGCAGGGTCCCATCACATGTAATGGTGACTTGGGAAAGCCAACACCATCACTTCAGATGTCCTCCCTTTCCTCCTTCTTCCCCCCACTCTATCTACTGAGCATGCTGTCAGATGATCTGGAATATCTCTTTGGGCAGTTGGGGGTCACCTATCCTGGCTGTCTCCTCCCAGCCATTCCAACTTCCTCACCAGTGTGGCAGCACAAAAAGCCTTGGCTCTGTGTGAGCCCTGCTCACCAATAACAAAAACAATTCTGTATTACCAACCCTGTGTTCATGAAAAATGAAAAACAGACTCATACCAGCCACTGAAGGAAATTAACTCTACCCTAGCCAAAACCAGAACATTCCAGCACAGTCCATACTACTATGTGTAATAGGCAGGCAAAGAATACTTCCCTAGCATAGTATTTATCAGAGCTTCTCTCCCTGGAATGTCAGATAGGGAGACAGCATCAGAGAACCTGATACAACCTGAGTTGCATCAAGAGACTTTTTTTACAGCATCAAGAGTTGTTTATCTGTACCACAGCTGAAGGTACAACAACTCAGCCCCAAGGGTTCATATAAAATTCAGTATGAACAATTATATTTAGTCAAACAGTTCATATGAAGTCAGTGCATTTTACTCAGAAAACATTGATACACATGTAATTACTAATTCAGTTAAAAAACAATCTGAAGCAATAAAATTGGCATCTATCAGCTGTTTAATTTAAACAGTTTAATACTGCTTTATATAAGTCAATAGGTAATAGTCCAGAAGATGGACTTACATGAATTTAAAAAAGAAAACAAAAGTTCTCAAAAATAAAAAAAAAAAAATTAAAAAATCACTCTCAACAAATAGTTTATAGTTCATATAGTTCATGACTAGCTGGAAACTAAGGCAAGTAGGCCATATACATCCAATCAAGACATAACATACTAGTGCTTTGGACTGAGCATATTTCAGCAAAGAAAATAGCCAAAATCAAAGGAATGATATCAATAAACCCAGAGACTCTATCTTTGGTCAAACTCTATTGCTCTACCTGTTATTTCTCTGATCCCAAAACCACTCTCCTTAGGAAACAAAACTGACCTTGTAGAATAATTTCCTGTAAAACCAGGACCAACGTTGTAAGATACATTCAAATTTCCTTTCCAGCTACTATGAGGTGGTGCCTGTCCTCCCATATTACTGTTATGGAAAAAAAAATCATTGTTAGTTACAGACATCTTACAACAGCACCAAACAAATGAGGAACCAGAAACCACACTTTGCTAGACCCCATGCAAACACAAACCAGAGTTGGTCTTTGTTTTAGACAATTTATACTACAAGGTTTGGCAGGAGAATAATCTGGAGTTTTAGCTGCACTAATACTTGTAAATTAACATAGAGCAATAACCCTGGGCATAGAGATCAGCTTGGAATGGCCTACAGCTACCCTGGAAAACAGTGCTGACCTAGAGGTTTTGCATATAAAATGCCTCTTGTAAATGGTCCCTGGAACATTCTACTACCTTGAACTGTATTTGCATTTGAATTAGCAGAGAGCAACTTGGGCCATTCCAACACTTTAACAACACAGGCAATAGTTTCATGGTGCCTGGCCCTGCACACTGTTTAATCTCCTAGCACAGACAGTGGATGTGTGTCAGACAGCTAAAGCAGAGAAACATGACCAGATCAGTCCAAGTCACACATTCTTGTTCCATTGTCAAAAGTGCCATGTTTTTCCTGTTAACAAAACTGGAAATGCAGCAATTCAGGGGATTGCAATCACCCAGACTTATTCTCTTGAAGGACTTTTATTTTTGACACGAACTTCTGAGAGACAAAGAGAGTATGCTGGATGTTCTGGTTCATAGGAAGCAAAATATATTTATTGTAAATGAAAGCATGTCTTATACTGTAAATACATACTTCAGACAAAGTTTATTCCACAGAACACTTCAACATGTCTTCAGGCACTGAGTAAATTGTTTATATAAAAATATGATAGCAAGAATAACAAGATGCTATGTCTTCTCAAGACAAAAGTGAAAACAAGGACCCAGTATTTTTAAAGGATTTAGGTTTCATTTATAATTATTAAAACCAAGTTCTAGTATTATTTAATACTTATTGAATGGAATTTTCTGGCTACATCATATTTATACAAAGTAATCTACTCTATCACTACTTGTTGGCAGTAGATAAAAGAGGTTAAGAGGTTTTTTAACCTATACTTTTATCATCATGAGCAGTTACCCTGACAACAGTGATAACTAAAAATTTTACATCAAAGAAAATTTGAAGACATATCAGTCCATATTAAAAATGACTTTTTCCAGATAAGTCTGAACATACCTCATATGTAAAAATAGATACCACACTTACCTCCTGCAGAGGTCCTAATGAGAAACAAACCTATTATTTCAACAGCTACAGGAGAAGCAGAGTGCAAGAGTCTTTTTAGCCACTTTTCAAATACTCCTGTAACTTTCAAAAAACATTCTGCTAAAAATACCTCATGTCTCCCATGCACTTACCTCAGTAATGACTCTGCATCATGATAGCCAATAGGATGAACTGGAATTTTTGGGAGGCCTACACCACTGGTTTTGTCTAATCGGTACATGTATTCTGAAAGCAAAAGACAGATATTTTCATATTTACAAGTCTCAGAAAGAAGCTGTACAATTCATAGCACAGTCACATAGTACACTAGAGTCAAGAAAAATCATTTCACTTTCCCAGAAGTTGAGCTGATATCTTCCCAGTAATTTAATTCTTTGTTCTTTATCAACATATTTCCAGAGAGACACTAATCAATGTTCTCCCATAGTGTTTGCAGTCATGCATTTAAACATGGCTGGAAATTCTAAAATTATTTGTTCATTTTTTTCTGCTGAAATACTTTTAAGTAGAAATATTTGTCTTCATGGGAAAGAAGCTTAGACTAAGCTACACATAAAGAACAAAGCAAAGAAGGAGCCCATGTGTGATGCTTGGAACATTCAGCTGGGAACCAAAAAAATCTGCCAGTTGATAAAGAGATGCATAAAAAATCTTATACACTGGACTACTGAGTATTCTGGACAGGCATTTTTGTGTACAAAACAAAATCTAGATTGTGTTCTGACAAAGCTCAAATACAAATAAATTTTTTTTACAAGTCTTAACTGTCAGTACATGGACAAAAGCATATATAGAATAGTTTCATCCTTAATACAACATTCACAGGACCCTTTGTGATTGAGGGAGACAGGGATTCACCTGTGTGATCACTGACTATAGCATGAGGACCAGAAATTTTCTTCTTGGCCTGCTCTACCTGCTGTTTTGAACATGTGTCCCCTTCCAGCACACGTTCTGCTGCCAAGAGGCAACATTGTCCATCACATAAGCACTACTTTTTCTGAGGTGATTGTCCCTCTCAGATGTGCTGGCCAAGTGCTGGCATAAATAGTTCTTAATGAATATAAATCAAAATGATCTGGTTTAGTTGCTAAATGAAACAGCTTAGGCACAACTCAAGCAGCTAAAGAAGCCTAAGGTGAAGGTGGTGAATACAGAATGAAGCTGCCTCTTTTAGCAACAAAGACTAAGAAAGTGTGTTGGTATAAGGGAGAAAACATCCTCTGCCCTTTCCTGATACCAGACCCTCAGAGAATGCCTTCTCTAGAGTCACTCACCTTTTGCAGGATAACCTGGAGTCAGAGGATCCCCTGCCCCATTCAGGTTTAATACATTCCCACGCTGGGCTCCTCCACCTGGAAGGTTCCAGCCGTTTGGATAAGGATCTACTCCAGGAGCGCAGTAGTCAGCAGGGTCAGAGTACAGAATAATTCCCTTGGCACCTGCCAATTCAGCATTCTTCACCTGCAAAGCACATCTCCTGTCCCTATCCACTCCTTTATAGGTTGACCCCAAGAGTTCAAGGGGCAAAAGGAAGTATTAATTGCAGGATTAGTCAAGGGCCCACAACTGTCTCATAATTTCCTGAAAACTATATATGCAGATATCATATGAAAAGAAAAGGTTTAGCTTTCATATGTAAGTATAAGGTTTTCTGTTGCTTTGAGTTGTACTTAGGAGATAACATCAGTGACATGAAAAACATTCTCCACAATTGCTACATAACCTGAGTTTGCATTCTGTCATCCAGATCAATACAATCAGCTGACTATCGAACTGTACATGCCAGGAACAGAAAAAACTGTATCATATTAATGCAACAATATCTTTCAGGTAGTCTTGTACTTACCTTATTTGCCTAAACCATCTCTGAATGTATCTCAGGGTTTGTTCTACACAGGAAGATTATAATTGGAGAATTGAATATAATTGAATTAAATATAATTGAAACTGCCTTTGGCTGTGAACAAGACTAACTCCAGAGAGCCCGCATTTTAGGCTCATTATGGCAGAAGGACTGACCCACATGCTGTTTTAAAAGTGTTCTTGTGTGACTTTATTATTGTATAATGTATATCATTCTGACATCCCAATCTGGTTTGCTACTAGACATGACAGTGATGGGTAGTGACAGAGTGACAAGTAATCCTCAACAGTTTTAAATTTGGGCATTTTAACTCAGAAATATCATAGCTTTTTTTTCCTTTTTTTTTTTTTTTAAGGAAATACAGTACTTGCCTTCATTCTCTATCCTATTTTTTCACACCATTAGGAAGTTGAAAAACTTCTAGAACAGTTCTCCAGATTTTATATAGGCTATCAAATTCTTCAGTTTATAAGCACTCATTAGCAATATCACTGTAAGAATGGGAATAGCTCTTTGTGTCAAAGAGGGCATATCATTTCCAAGCCACAGGAAAAACTGCTTCTCTAGATATTAGTAACTCTAAGATATTTGTGTTTCATTTTAAGGAAAGATTCATAGACAGTAATAACTTCTTCAATTTTTAAGTCTTTTCAATTCAAATAGTATCTTTAGGAGTGGAAAACAATTTAGTGAAAATATTATCTGCCCAGAATATGAATTATATACCACTTTTCACCAGTGAAAATAGGTATGCAAACCAATGAGTTATCTATTTAAAAGCTTCACACAAGATTAATCAACAGTATATAATAAGAATTGGTATCCAGTGAATTCAGTGCTTGACACCCTTAGGTAACTGACAAATAAAAATTACAGTTCTTCTCAAATTAGGGTCAAAATAGTTGTTGTACAAGGGCCAAACTCTTAAAATAGACCATCTTCTTACATCTCTGTTGAGAAAATAACTTGAGTGCATGCCTGAAGTATGTACAGGATTATGTCCTTTCCTGTTAGGTCATGGAAATCTGCAAAAACCATAGTTTAAAAATAAATTCATATGACAGGGATGTTGAATAACCAAATACAGACTTTAAAATAACTTCCACATAGCTATAGTCTCTGTCTGGTGTACAGAAACCATTATAAAGAAACTCAATATAGACATAGGAAAAAAGCAGCTGAACCAACAGGGAAGAACAATCTAGCTCAGAATTAGAGTGTATGACTCTATCAATGATATTTTGGAACAATTTATAGAATGCAAATGAATATTAAAATACGGAATATTTTCCAACTGATTTTCTTTTATCCTAGAAATACTAAAGAATCACCTTTGAACACATGTCTGTGAAAACTCAGTTACTCTAAAATCTCCAGAACACCTTAGGGAAGCGTTTCAGTCTCTTGAAAACACTGAAGGGCAGCACAGTTGAAGCAGGAGTAACAATGAGAAGGGCAGCAACATTTTTACACACAGAGATTACCTTATTTCCTCTGAAGATCTTCCCATATCTGGCAATAACAATCTTTCCTGTACAGTTAATTCCCATTTCACGTTCTAACGTAAAGAAATCCTCAGTGCGGCCATAATTCACATACACCAACTCACCCTGAGAGAAAGGGGCAGGATTTGAAACAGTAGTGTCATAGAGCATGTTGAAAGGAGTATGTGACTTAATAAGACAATAGTGGTTTTGAACATAAAATTCTTGGCCTGCAAGAACCCAGAAGAGCCTTGGCCCCACTGAGTGTTCCTACTGAGGAACTTTATACATGCTCCTGTATGTATTCCTAAAAACCTGTGCTGTTTGCTGTTCACTGGAGATTGCTACTGCTAACAGCACTAGACAAGTACCTGGAGGTCTTGTCAAACTATTATGTAATAAGGTGAAAATAAGCATCACATTTGGAAAATACTATCTTGTCTTTAAGTATTGCTTTTATTGGAAACAAAGTTTCTATATTTAATTAAAATAAAACTATTTCCTAGAGAAGAAAGCTGAAGCTTTTTAAACTTGTTTTCATCATTTACCACATCTCATCACTTACTGTAGCTCTCTAAAAACCAAGCAAAGCAGTGAAGTTATTCTGTCTTTCTTTGGTGATATGTTATGATAAAAGGTCAAACCCCATTAATTTTATCTTACACTGTTCTGAAATTCCCACTGCAATTCCTGGAACACTCAAAGCTCATATGTCCCTGGGTAGATTATCTGCCTGGTTTTCCAACTTTCTTTGAGGCAAATGAATACTGTATTCCTTTTGTTTTGTGGACTTGAAGCTTACTAACAAACATCACAAAGTACATGACTCTTGCTATAATACCGAGCTGTGTTAGTAGAAGCATTAGCATGTTTCCAGATGGAACTTTAAAATCCTGTTACACAGGCCAGTTTTATCAAAGAAAGCCCATCAGCTGATACTATCTTTAAAACAAGACATGAAGGATTAGTGCTAAATTCAGATCACAGCAACACCTTTATCACTAGCTAGAAATGTTAGCAAAAGTTTTTCAAGCATACTCAACACTGTGCAGCTATACCTGTCAGTGTGAGCCTTGGGCAAGCAGCATTTTGAAAAGTGAGATTGTTCATTTGGCTGGGTAAATGTAACAGTCTATTTGCTCACCAAGATGAGAAATAATGGTGCATAGTTACAGAAATGTCTGAGGAAGTTTACAGCAGCTGATATTAAAGACTTATTACCATAGTTTTTAAGGAAAAGGAAAAATAAAATCCAATTCTGACTCAAACTAGAGGAAAAAATTAAACATATATATGATTGTTCAATTTGAACATTGCTTCATCACAATAATCCCAAGAAATCGAAGCCAGGTCACTTTTCCTACTGGTGATAAGTTGGGTTATGAACTAAAGCCTAAGGAATTTCAAAATATTCTGTATTGCTCTCTGATATTCTGTGCAATGCCACACAGTACACTATGGGATTCCATCTTTTCCATTTCTATTATTTCTATTTCTGTCTCTGCTTCTTTTCCTACTCCTGTTCCTACCGCTATTTCTTTTACTATGTAACATTCTATTACCTTACCTCAGGCATTCCTTGGGCTGAAAAGGCACTGTAGGGTGGCACCACATCTCTAACAGCCTCATATCCTGGAGGAGGAGGCTCGGACAATGATGTGTTGAAAACCTAATGGGAAAGGAGAAAAGGAATAAGGTAAACAAGACAATATAGAAAATAAATACTTTCTATTCACAAGCACATTTCATAAGCATTTGCAATCTAAATGACTCTGGTTTTACAGTTCTACCTAAGAAGTGGGCAAAGTTTTAGCAAGCACTGGGCATCTTTTCCAGTAGGCATGCTCAATGTGTGAACTTAGAAATACCATCTCCATTCTTCACAGTCCTGCATAAATGAACACAGGGTTCCCTGAAGTGGTCTGGGTACAGCAGGTAAGAACAGGTTAGGTCACAGAAGATCATCATCATCATCATCATCATCACAGCAGATGAGCTTCAGGTTCATTCCTGAAACTTCTACGTGCACTTCAGCCAGGATATAACAAACTCATTCCCCTTGTGATAGCACATCTTGAGACCTAAATTCTAATCTTCCAGAAACTGAATTTAGCAGAATCATCGATACTGAATAATGAATCAATGCAAAGAATAGTGCTGACCAGGGTTTCTTTCCTCTTTCTAAGTAACAGAGGAATTTTCAAACAATTGAATTACATGAAGTAATTCCCTTACATAATTGTTTTTTAATCCATATGCCAGGATATTGTATGAATCAGGGTAAATATTAGTATTTCTAAGACATATATAGTGAAACAAAGATGCAAAATATAAAAGTAAACTGGAATCCCTGACTTCTGTGAGCTTTGTACCAGACCCAACACCATTAAGTGAACAGAGGACAGTTTTTCCTCACAGCCTTCCCAGGTGTAGGAAAGTGATTTTGTTCCCTCGTTGGAAAAACTGGTGGTTTTTGTACCTCATTGTCATGCTCATCAATTATTGAGATGTAGTTGGGCTTAGTGTCATCAGGGTAAGAGAGCAAGACGTCATAATGAACCAACTGAACTGAATCCAAACCAAATTTCTTCCACTCAGCTTGGACTTGCTGTGCCAGATGCATATTTTCCTTTGTTCCTGCTAGGTGAGGAAGCTGTGTAAAATTGCTAGAGAAAAGGAAGAAATAAGCAGGGTCAGGCATTGAAGATCATAATTAGAACTCCTGTTAGCCTAGCTGGAAATAAACCTCATATTGCTGATCAGATATATTCAGGCTAAAAAAGGACCATGACTTCCCTGCATCTACATATTTTTATGTTGTATGCATAAACTGAGATGAAGGGTTTCAGGCTGTCCTGATCTAGCACAGGTATTTAAATCTTCCTTACAGCATGTTTTAGCAAGGATGGTGTGATGACACCAGCTACAGGGTCTCGTCCTTTACTCCTTGTCTTCTGAACTACAGTAGGCCTATGCACTCCTATACACAGTAAGACCTTATAACTGTGAAATGATAAAATAACTGAGTACAGTTATTTTTGTGTATTCAATTTAGAAATGTGCATAATTACTCTGATCCTTACTTGTATTTAACTAGATATTCTCCTTGAATCCTGTGATTTTAATTAATTTTGGCACAAATATTGGTTTATCTAAAAGTTCACCCCAAGTGTGTCTTGTTGGCAAGTGAGAGTTTTGAGTACCATATAAACAAGGAACAGAAAAAATCACCAGTTTGTGACTTAAAAGTCATGCCAGCATGAATAACAAACAGTGAAAGAGACCATAAATAATGAACAGTCCATTGTCTTAAAAAAATAAATAAAATAAAAATTGTCCAGACCATTGTGAAAGCCCAGTTGTGAAGCCAGCTGAAAAAACCCTCAGCTGAATGAAGCTGTCATCATGATGTCCTCATTCTATCATATGACCATGCCATTAACATGCCAAAGAAGCATGTGTGGCACCAGCTGGTGTTAATGAAGGAAATTGTATCTTTGATTATGAAGGGGTGTGAGATTAGGAAAAACTTAAATTCTGGAGTTCAAATAAGAGCAAAGCCATCAAAGAAAGCCACTTTGAAAGAACTATACATGAATAGAAATATACATGAATAGAAATAGAATAGAATAGAATAGAATAGAATAGAATATAATAGAATAGAATAGAATAGAATAGAATAGAATAGAATAGAATAGAATAGAATAGGTTTGCTTGTAAGAGATCTACAACAATCATCTAGTCCCACTGCCTTACCATGGCAGAGCAGACCTAAAATGCCTGTTTCAAATCTGAACATCCTCTTGGTAAAGAAATGCTTCCTCATGTCCAGTCTGAACTTTCTCTGGTGTAGCTTTGAACTATTCCTATGCATCCTATCACTGGATACCAGGGAGAGAAAATGAGCACCTCTCTTGCCATGTCCTCTCCTTAGGAAGATGTAGGGAGTAATGAGGTTGCCCCTCAGCCTCCTTTTCTCCAAACTAGACAACATCCTTAGCAGCCAAATGCTGCTGGATAAAACCACGTTCCTCTGATCATTCCAAAATCTAATATCGTACTAAAAGTCACTGTTATAGTGATAGCATCGTCTTCTGGATGACATATACTGAACCAAAAGCACACTTATGTGTTATTGTGAGCAAGAATGATTGCTTTCTATAGGAGTTACAAGTGTTTAGGTAGCACATTTTCGTTAGAAGTTGATTTATGCAATAACAGTTCCCTGTATTACACTCCCATTTAACTGAATATTGTGTTTTTCTTCATTTTCTCTTCTAATCTGATTGCCTGTACTGGTAGTTCTGAGCAGTGACTAAACATCTGCTGTATTTCACTGCAGGACTGGCCACATGACAGCAAATGAGGTACAATGTTTTCTGCTTACATAGAGGCAGGGAGTTTAGAGGGCAGGAAGGTCCTTCCACAGAGCTGTTTAACAATAGTTGACTTTGCCGGAGCCAAAACACGGGGTAAGATTCTAAAAACTCCTAAATCTTTGGTTTGGAATGTGTATGTTATAGTCCAGTACATGACTGCTGTGTAGTAAAGAAACCACACTTTCCAGCTAATTTATCTGCAATAGTTCATGGCAAATACACTTAAAACTAAACAGTGAGATTGCCACAATCCTATAAACTGAAAATGGTCTTTTAGTAACTTCATTTTGCACAACTCCATTCTATGTAATCAGACTGGAAGTATGAGGCTAATCTAAATTTGTTGATCATTCCTAAAATAGCGGATGCACTTTCTTTAAACTGAAATTAAATTCCTATCAATAAATAATACAATAACTTGTGGCCTGTTACTGACTGGAATAAATTTAAGATTTTAACAAATACTACACTCTCTTAAAAGAAAAATAATCCATTTACAAGTTTCCTAAAACAAACAAATTAAGTACAAGTACTTGCAGTTAAAGCTTCTAAGTTACTAAATTAGAAATACTTATTACATTGATTAAATTTTAATAGACTTTAAAATACTTATATTGTCATGTTACATTGTTTTGAAGCATGACTAACAAGTCAGAGAGGTGATTCTGCCCCTCTGCTCTGCTTCACGAGACCCCAGCTGCAGTGCTTTGCTCAGCTCTGAGACCCAGTACAAGAAGGACAAGGATTTGATGGAACAAGTCCCAGAGGAGGCCATGAAAATGATCAGAGGGCTGGAGCATCTCTTCTGAGAAGAAAGGCTGAGAATCTTGTGGCCGCTGAGCCTGGAGAAGGCTCTGAGACCTTATAGCACTTTCCAGTATCTGAAGGGGGCTTACAAGGCTGGAGAGGGGCATTTTTCAAGGGCATTTAGTCATACAAGAAGGGATAATGGCTTTAAACTGAAAGAGGTCAGGTTTAGATTGGATATTAGGAAGAAATTCTTTACTGTGAGGGTGCTGAGGCACTGGCATAGGTTGCAGAGAGAAGATGTGGACCCCCCAGCCCTGGAAGTGTTCAAGGCCAGGTTGGACAGAGCTCTGAGAAACCTGGTCTAGTGGAAGGTGTCCCTGCCCATGGCAGCTGGGTTAGAACCAGAGGATCTTTAAGGTCCCTTCCAACCAATTCTATGATTCTGTGATCATTGGGCTGGCTCCCACCTGAAGGTTTTTTTTCTTGTCTGAACTGATTAGTCTACACACTGCTTACTAAAGAAATTGCTTGATGTTTTCTGCTTTCATTTCAGCCATAAATGCTGTCCTCATGTCCTCATGAGTACTCAGAGATGTCTTCTGATCTGTAGGTTTTGCAAACCAGCCTGTACAACACATGAAAATACAAAAGTAAAAATATCAGAGCAATATTCCCATGACACACCAGTATTAGTCCAACAAATGGCAAGAGAACTTATTTGTCTAGGTAAATGTAGAGTGATATAAAATACTATCTTATATTTATTTATCGGGTTTTTTTCCTGTAGAAGTAAAGGAGAATTATCTATCTTCCTTGAGCACCAGAACATCATGCTGTGAGTCATATAGTTACCTCAATAATAAGGCAGCAGCTTTACAAAAAATGCAGACACACAGGCACACTTTTTCAGGAACCTATGCCTTCTTTATCACTCTCTGGCTCCTTTCTGGAATCCTTCCCTTTCTGAGCAAGCACTAGTGGATTAAGTGATGAGAGGAACAGCTGGCTAGAAAGAGAAGTGTTCCTGACATTCATTTTCAGGTCAGACTGGGTGCATGTACCACAGCAGCTATATGGGTAGTGTGAATGAGAGAACCAGTGGGTTCAAGAGGGTAACAAGCTGGCACCAGTGAGGCACTGGTTACTGGCACAGAGAAAGGCTCCACATGAGAGAGGAATTCAGTCGGGGCTTCCCAATGGCACCAATCCCAAGTACACACCAAATGGCACTGCAAAATACAAGCGGCTCTTTTGTTTTCCTTCCTTCTGTAAGCTGGCCATGATTCATATGTGAAACAAAAAGGAAGGTAGGGAGGGGGAATCTCTTGTGGCAGCGACCCTCAGTCCTGCCTGCTTGGGACGAGGAGCAGGTGAGACACTGAAAGGCTATTTCTCCCCTCCTGCCCGTGCCCCTCCAGCCCCATGTTCACATTCCTGCCTCTCTGGCTGCGGCTGGTGCTGTCTCAAGGCAGTAGGGTCTAGGGGTAGGTATATCCTTCGTCCCCTCCTCACAAACCCAGCGCCCCTTTCTCTTGCCCACGACACTATTTTACTCCTACTTACTTTAACAAAAAGTAGATAGAAAAACAAGGCAAAGCTACGAAAATCCTGTTCCAGCGGAGGAGCTGGACATCCCAGCGAGGGTCAGTGGCTGCCCGCTGTGGAGGGAGGGAGGCACGGAGCGCGGTGTCGGCCGGCTGAGCACGGACTCACCTCGGGCACCCTTGCCACAAACTCCAGGGCGCTGGAAACCCACCCACTTCTCCCCCCACCCCGGCCCTGAGCCCCGTCCCCCGGCTGGACGAGCCCCCGATGCGAAGGAGGGTTAGTCCGCACCGTACCGATGAGGAACCCGAG